AGATGAGTAAAGCAAAGCTCATGCTCCTGTTTCTAATCTTAAAGTAATACTGTTGCCCGTAGCAGGTATCAATCATTTTTCTCCTCATGAGGTGGGAGTAAATCCCTCGGCCAATCTCTCCCAAGATTGATTACAATGGGCATAAAACTACTTGACAGTATGGGCTGGTAAGGGAGGAAGCATGGATAAATTCATTGAACAACGTTTAGATTGGTGACTTGGCTAGGCTCGCTTGACAGTTTCTCCGTCCCTTTGAATGCGCCCCTGGCACAAATGGCCGTAGAAGAGGATGCTGTGCCTAAGGGAAATGATTCTAGCATTGAAACATTAATAACGAGGATTGCGGTCCCCCGACACCTTAGGGACGATAGGCTGCACAATCATATCCCTAGAAGGAACATATATTTACCCTTGCAATTTCGTCGAAACCTGAATATTTAGGAGAAGAAATTTTCTGGCATTTCAAAGAGTTCGTTTCCAAACCAATCTACACTGAAGAGAAAAAGAGGAAAGTTAAGCGTTACCTAAAGACAAAATAAAAAATAAATATGCGAACTCATCCAGAATGGTCTGAACACAAATATTATAAAAATTTAAAGGATGGAGCAATCTTTCAGAGTCGCGTACCTCAAGTGACAAATTAAAAATAGGAGCTAGTAAGTCAAGAAGATCGAAAAGAGATCGAATGCGAAGCGAAAGAGGTGGCTCACCTATACGGTACCACCACAATAAGTATATGTAGGTTCTAAGTAAAAGGGAAAAGAGATAAAAACTTACCATAAGTTCGAAGCATAACAACTAAAGGATAAATGTCATTAGGTTGAAACCCCCAGTTGCCTCGAACAAAGAAAAACTCTCTCCAATTAGACATCTGACTAGGAGAAATGACAAGTGTTGGGCATGTCCTGAAAATACGAGAAGAAAAGGAGTAACACTTCTTTTGAAGGTTCATAGAATTGCCCTTCGGCACGATACAGTGGCCAGAGCGATATATTTCTTATGGGAACTCCCTCTCTAAACTCACAGATCCCGATAGTATTAAAGACCTAACCAATTGGGCCCACCCATTTGGAGAAAGTTTAGGAGGAGCAGATATAAAAAAGAAAGAATGTTTCTAAAAAGCCGATGAAAAAGGGAACTCTGAATCCCATGTGAATGTTTGTGAATAGCTATGCAACCTGGAGGAGGATGACATGCTATGTAAAATTGATCAGAAGGTAACAATTTTATATCAGATAAATCTTGTTTCGTAAGAGTGACGAAAGTCCCTAAAGCTCCAAAAGTATCCCCATCATTATGACCAAGAATAACAGGCCTATGCAAAGGCTCGCCTGCCCCATTGTGTGCCCCAAAACTGGGCAAAAAACTATCTGCTTGGCCAAAAGTGTTGGATTAACATGTACACTGGAATGAGTAACTGTCCTACAAAGGAGCACATCGACATGCATCACTTCTACAAAAAGAAAAAGAATCGACAGAATTATCAAGTTACAGAGTCAGAGTCATAAGATATGTCCTGAGACTCAGTTTCGGAAGACATCGTGGCAAGAGCTTGAAGGGAAAATGTGGCATGTTAAATAGACCGAACTGAACCTAACAAGATTTAAGCAGCAAGGCATGCGCCTGGTCCTTGTTGAATATACATCTTATTCATTCTTATATGCAAAAAGGAACATGAATCCCGGCCACTGTACATACTCTCTTCACGATGAAGACATACTCTTCTAGAAAACTGGCTTCAGAAATTTTTAAATAGTGATCTTGCCAATTATCCCTCAGTCTAGTGGTATAAATAACTAAAGATTAGATGTCTTAAAACTACTGGTCTAAGGTTCATGGTTTATTTATTCTATTGTGCCACTTATGGAGAGCTATTATGATTTAAAACTATTGGTACAAATCTTGCAATTCATTCAACACGGGAAATATTAGCAAATAAACATTTGCAAGCCAAGTATGAGATCAAGACAACTGGCTCTTCATCCAACAAGATGAAGTCGATGCATTCATTGAGATGCACCAAATTGACTAACAGGAATATTTAAGAGGGCACCTACTGGATTTCAAAGCTACAGTACTACTTGAAAATAAATAAAAATCAATGATCATGATACATTTCTTCTTAAATAAATAGTCGCAAAATTATCGTAACAATGGGCGGAGTTAGTAGAGGCCAGCATTGTCCCCCAGCCCATATAAAAAACTCAAGAGGAAATGGAGAATTTTGACAGCCCAGCGCTACCCCTAGTCCATATAAAAAACCTAAGAAGAAATTGTAGAATTGTGGCACAAATATTATCATTAACCCAACTCTAGTCTGAATCTCAACCCAAATCCAATGTTCAATTATTCAAATTGTATTAATTATTAAGTAAATTTTATTTAGATAATTTGTATTGATTAGATCTAAAAGTAAATTACTTATTTTAATAGTAGTGAGACTATAAATTTTTTTAAATTTAAAAGTAATTAATTCTTTTTTTTTTTTAATTTCTACGTATGTTTTCATTTATTACTTAATCATACTTATAAAAAAATAATTACTTTTTTTGACCAAAAAATAGATATTATGATCAAAATATATAACTTACGATAGATTTGATATTGATAATAAAAAAGAATATTTTTTAAATTTATTTATTTATAAAGTAATCTATATATGAGTATATTCTAGAAACCGAGCAAAAAATAGATGTGAATTAAATTTAATTTCTTTTACCCTAGAAATTCTTAGTTGATTTTTTTCACTTTGGTTGAGATTCTTCACTCACTTTAAAATGTAGTGATATAGAATATCTATGAATGCACCAAATAACATTTCGAGACAGTAACATATGGATTATAGTGATATATAATTGTTTGGAAAGATTGGCAATGAAAGTTGCTAGAAGTGTATTCATTAAGTATTTTTTTAATTTTCATTGGCGGATATGTATGATGCTTATTTCTATCGTGATTTGATCGGTTTATTTTTTTTTTTAATATAAGCGTCGATTTTCTCTTTTGTAAAAAAAAATACAAAGATTTAGTGGAATATCTCAATGCAAGACATCTTTTTTTTTCTTATTAATTTCATTGAGTGTCGTATTTTTTTATTGTGAATGTCACGAGAATAGTCTTTGAAACTCCATTTTTTGTGGTGTAAGTTTATTCAAAAAATTTTAAATTTCAGCCTATCCTAACATCATTTTCTGGCTTCACCCCTAATCATAACCTAAATCTTTGCCACAAATTTTTTTATTTTTTCTTATTACTATTCCTGGGAACATGAACATCATATGTCAGATTTTTTTATTATTATTTTTTATTTGTGTGAATATCTTACATATTTTTGTTAAAATTATTCATAAGAATCATCTATATTTTATTTCTGTTAATGTAAATTAGAGATTACCTAAAGAAAAATTAGCAACAAAACTCAAGTATATTGCAAAATGTCTTGAAATATTTCCTTGTAACATGTTGTAAGATTATTTTGTTGTATAGAAATGATACTTGATATAAGATTCCTAAATTTTCTAAATAGGTCGATATTAATTTTACAACTACCTTAAAGTATGGAGAGCAATCAAAGATGTTTTTAAAAGTAGAGTAAGCAATTAAAGACATCTTTGAAAGTATAGCGAGTAATCAAAAACGTCTTTCATATAGTATGAGCAATCAAAGACTCATTTCCTTACATGGCAATTGGTTGCTTTGAGTTCCAACACTTTAGGCATTAAGTCTGTCATGTCACTAGTTTTGCTAGAATTAAGTAACGAATGTTATGTTAGTGTAGTGTCCAACATTTTGATACATTTAGTAGTCAAAGCTTGACATCTGAAACTTCAACGAGTTGTTGAAGACACTGATATAAGTTCAAAGATTATTGGTACAATTAACTCCTTCACAATTATATTACTTTTCTTCATCTTATAATAGAAAATGATTGGCATACAAGAATTCATTCAAAGCAATAACAATCAGTACAAAGATTAGTCCATACACAATGAAAAAGAAATTGTGTAAACTAAGTAAAGTCATACTGAATTGTAAAGGGTGACATATACACACACACATATATCTATACATGTATGTGTGTATGAGCATATATATAATTGGGTAAACTACGTAAAGTCATATTGAATTGTAAATGGTGATATAGATATACACATATATATATATATGTATATATGTATATCTATACATATGTATGTGTGTGCGCGCGCGAGCATATATATAATTTTATTCACTTTAAAAAAATTCAGAATTGACAATAAACTCCGAAATATGGATTGAACATGTTTAAAATTACTACTAAAAGTCATCCAAAATCAAATACCTCATGAACGCTCAAAACAAATACCTTAAAAAACCCTATAACTGGTTCTTTGTTATGTTATCTCAAGGCAGATAAGGGCACCTGTACGGCTCGGGCTTAAGCTCTGTCTAATCATCCTTCCCCATTCTGACGAGAATTACAATTATAAAGAACTATATAGACATTTATCCCATCCATAAACCGAGATAATAATTCCAACCCCCAATGCTACAATACCAACGAAAGGAATTCAGATTCATTTGAATCTGGTTGGTGAACATCCATCTCTCTATGCTTTTTCTCTGAATGCCTACCCCCCCCCCCCCCCCCCCCCCCCCCCGCCCCTG